AACTGGCGGTCAGTTTCAGCAGCGGCTGAATCTGGACGCCAGTTCCGACTTACATACAGATTCAACTTAAGAACAAACCTACAGTCCCTATCTTGTACGTAACCCGGGGACTGCCTGTATTTCATTACCTCTTTATAGTCGGTTTGTTAATGGCTTTGCAAGTATATTGTCAACTTATTTAAGTCTAAAGTTACCATTTCAAAAATAAATCCAGTATAAAAATCTTAGAAGGACATATTTTAAAAAAAGAATTAGAGGAAAAACACCGCCTCCTTCACAAGATTACAATTAGCCTCCAGTGTTCTTTTAAAAAACAGACTTAACCCAACAAGGTGCTGAAGACATCTTACAGGATCAGTCACAGGTGTTTTAAAGAGCAGGAGATTGATAAAAATATCTAGTAGGGATGGTTTATTTGCATTTAACCTTTACAGCCTTTGCATGTAGAAATTGACTTGATCAGTGGTTTACACCCTTTTTTCATTTGTAGATCCCTAAAATAATTTCCACTGGTGGTGTGGACTTCTTTGGAAATCTTAGATATTATCAGCTGTCCCCTCACAGGTCTGTGAAGCACAGGCTGCAAAGCACTGGTCTATGATAATGACTTTTGCAGACCTCTTAGACATAGTCTTCGGACCCCAGGTTGAAAACTGGACCCCTGGTCCCTTCCCAGTCCTGTATGTCTATGATACCATGAGAAGGGCCCTACCAAATTCATGATCCATTTTGGTTAATTTCACAGTGATAAGATTTTAAAAATCATCAGCTGCACTATTTCAGATATTTATGTCTAAAATGTCATGGTGTTATAACTCGAAAGAGGGCTGAGAGGGACTGCAAGACTATCGTAAGGGGGCTGCATTATTGCCTCCATCCCTTCTGCACTGTTGCTGGTAAAAGCGCTACCTTTAGAGCTGGACAGTGGGCAGCACAGCTGGACAGTGGTCACAGCTATCCTTACAGGAGGCGATTGTGCAGGGCCATGTAGTTAAGGGATGTTGTGGTCCCACCTCAGCTAGCCCAAAAACATTCAAGCCCCTAGAGCTGAGTTTTGAGCCATGGAAGGGCAGGTCTCAGAGCAAGTGTGGCAGAACTTTGCAGAAGCAGGAGGCCACTGGTCCTGGAACTGGGGTGGAGGCATGCCGTTACATGTTGGGGTGTAGTTTTGGAAGGAGGGGTTGGCATTGCCTCCCCCCCCCAAAAACCCATCAAGCCTCAGACAGGCACAGAGTGGCACTGGCAGCAGCTCTGCTTGCCTGAGGCTCTGAGGCTTTCAGTTTTGGGTAGGGGTGACACTGTCCCTACCCCACAAACTTCATACATTAAAAAGTGGGGGAGCATGACTCCCTGGCCCTCCAGTTTCCAACACTGCTGGCAAAGGGTGCTGCAGTGGGGAGGGGGTGGAACTACTGTACATTAGGGTCCAGATGCTAGTCCCAGCCAGGCTGGAAAGGGACAGGAGATCCTCTTCACCTGCAGGGGCTAATCCCATAGCTCAAACCCACTTCTTGGATGCTCCTCCATCTGCAATAATCTCTTCAGCTACTTCCTGTGCAGTGACCCCTCCCCCAAGGATAGAGGCCAAAGGAGCCAGAAAGCCAGGCAAGGGTTTGGAGCTTCCTATAGCCGGAAGATTTTTAATGTGGTACTAATTCAGCCCTGGGAGCAGTGCAGTGAAGAGGAAGTCCCTTCCATCCCAAACCTCACCAGGACTAGCAGCCAGGAGCCCAAACACATGGTAAGAGCTCTAGGCTGGGGAGCCCCAAAACCTGCTTCTCTCCAGCAGATTTCTCTAAGGAGACCAGATTTTTTCATAGCCAAGAATTTAGTAGAGTCGTATCTACGATGGAGGTTACATACTAATTTTTCCAAATACACTCAGAAATCACTATTTTTATTCATTTACTGCAATACTTTGTACTTAAATAAAAATGTTGGCCAGCTTGATTAAACTGTGCTCATTTTGTGGATGGATTAACTGAAGTTTTAAGCAGAAAAGTCTCAAATATTGTCAGCTTTCCTTACTTAGATTTCCTTAACTTAGTAGATTTTCCTACTTGTCACGCTGCCCCATGGGTCTGAGCTCAAGTGGGCAACTTGAGCTTCCACTTATGCCACAACATCCACACCGCTATATTTAGCATGCTAAGGTGAACCTCTCCCCGACTCCCGACAGGAGTCTATCTACCTAGGCTGGGATGCTCACTCTCTGCTACAGTGTAGTCACAGCCTATACAGTCTGTCTGAGTACTATAAAGGTGTTGAAGGGCTGATGATGACAGAATTTCAATTCTTACCAGTTCTAGAACTCGAACAAAATAAAGACCTTTAGGGAGTTGGATGTGGAGGGCAGTTTCATATGCATCATCTCCAGCATTGCTCAGAGATAAATTCAATTGTAAAGTCTTCATACTTCCAACTGAAAGATAGGTTTTCTTTTCATGAGGTCTATAAAATAATGAATATATTTAAAATGTTATACTGTATGAAAAGACCAGTGATATATATGGCAAATATGAAAGCAAGTCACCTTGGTAAAACAGGAAAATGTCTGGAGAAAAAAGAGGGGAAAACAAACCCCTTTCTTTGATTTCAGTTTGATAAGGTATCTGGAAGAGTCCAACTGGAGGTTGCTGGTCAAATAACATTTGCTCATTTTTTCCTAGCTGAAGGCAGCTCAGTCATCCACCATTTAAATAATATAGTCAACCAACCACAATGTTTAATTTGCATTGCACTTTTTAGGGTCCAAGTAATTGGAGTGCTAATTCAAAGATGCAGGACTAAGAATGCTGCTTATTCTTCTGCTAGGCTTTGTCCAAGACCGAGAGGTAAGAGATGCAGAACAGTGTCTTCCGTGCTTCAGCATTTCCAAGGGGAAGTTACTCCTGTGCAGAGGAGTCATAAGGCCTATGCATCACTTAAGCCAGCAATGGGCAATCTAGACTAGTGAGTGGCACTCCTTCATCTCAGTGGGCCACTAGATTGTTGTAACAAAGGCAGTCTCCTAGGACATGGTAGTTTTGCCAAGTGTACTTACATATTTAGAATTGGCAGGGTGTGGCTACTGAACCAAATGAGCACATGGCCCTCACAGTCGTTGTATGCAGTCAGCACGCACTTCACTTCGTGTGCCCTTGATTTATGTGCATGTCACTTTAGTAATCCCGGTACAGAAAAAAAAAACCTACCAGGAAGGAAATCAGCAGAATTTGACAGCCCTGTAGGCAATGGTAAACAAAATGTCTCATGGCCACACACAGAACCCCAATAGTTGCAGGATGCCCACCATTACATCCCTCAAATTAAGGCTTGTCAGGCCATCTGCACAGAGGAGAATTTCATTCAGAATAGAGAATGTTAGAATGGGAGTGGATTTGTCAACTGACTCTATTAAGGAAACTTTCCAGCAGTGCACCAAGTATGTGCATACATTGCAGTGCTTATGTATGGTTGAAAGTCTCTGGTCTCACTAGTTTAGGTTTTTCTCTGCCTGCTCTTGAGATCTACAGTACTAATTTTTAAATTTATACATAGGGAATGTTAGGGATATAAATGCAAAGCTTTAATCCCAATATATCACATAAGGCTGTAATTTTCAGCTCTCAATTGAGGTATGGGATTGAGTTAATGTGAACCAGGAGAAAAAGAAAATGAGTGAACAAGCCTATCTTATGTTTTATCCAGTGTTCTATAATCACGTTACAAGTGAAAGTACCAAAGAGGATCTAAAAGTAAACTTCATTTTGACATTAAACTTTAATTAAGACTTGTAGAAGTGCTGGCTAGAAATAGACATTTATCAAATATTCTGGCTTGAAACCAGAGAATTAGTCACTGAACACCTTTGGGAAAGAAGTTGGCACTTAGACAAGCAACAGAAGGTGAAAATACTGCATAAGCAGCCAGGTTCCAAGACAACATCAAATTAAAGAGAAACACAATGTTAAAATTATAGGAGTTGGATTTCTCATTCTCTTTACATTTTTAAGTTACTTTACAGCATTTACAGAATTACTATTTTACTCTTTTCTGGTACACATTTTACTGCAGCTTGATTCATTAACAAGATGCCATCAGAACTCAGTACATAAGTGCAGTAAAGCACCAGCTGCACATCTGGGAGTGTGACAAAGCTGAACTAGAGCTTATCTCCAGTAATCATATTTCATTCTTCATTAAAATATGCATAATGCATACTTGAAATTTATAGAGCAGACCAGAATCTAAGGAATTGAAACAGAACAAGGTAGTACATACATGCTGAACCATAACCCAGTAAGTAAAAGGACAAGACTAATGTGAAGTATTCCAGTGACAACCTTTGTACAATTCCATTCATTTAAGAGACATTTCATTGTATTTTTTTTAAAAAAAGCATTTAGTTTGTTGTTTCTAGATAATGAATGCATTCTGTCTAGACGAAATAAATTAAAGCTTCACAGCTAACCAGTTTTTAATCAAGATACTAACTAGGGCAAAAAATAATTTAAGGCGACATTTCACACTTTATCAAGATATGTAGCCTATTTATTTTGGTGAAAAAGAAGGTAAAAATTCTCATGCTCTACTTCCCTTTACTTGAATTTAACACTTGTAGTACTTATAAATCTGTTTTACTTGTATTAACGATAATGAAAATACACCAAATCTTTACAGTAGAAAAATGCAAAAATTTTCAAGCAGTTCTCTCTTGAAGCCTAAGAAAATGGTTGAGGGGAGGAGAAGAATTTCTCTGAAATCCATGAAGATTCAAAAACCATGTGCAGAGTCATATAAGAACCATTAATCCAAATTACACTATTATAGTATTATTTATGTACCATTTTAAGATGTTTTACAAGGCAAAACATCAGGAGAGCAGCATATAAAATCTCTCATCCCTCCCTCGTGGCTTGCAAAGGGACACTGAAGCCTGGTTCTGATCATGATATCGAATGAAATGAGTAGACATCAGGTTTAAAAACAAAAACAAAACAGAAGGAAATACTTCTCCACACCACATACAGTCAACTTGTAGAACTCATTGCCAAGAGATGATGTGAAGTCCAAAAGTATTATTTGGTTAAAAAAAGAATTAGGTAAGTTCATGGAGAATGGGTCCATCAACGACTATAACCCCATATGCCAGGTCAGTCCCAGGATATTCGAAAGACAAAGTGGATGAGGTAATACAGGTTGAACCTCTCTAATCCAGCACCCTTTGGACCTGACCGGTGCCAAACCAGAGGATTTGCCAAACCACGGGAGGTCAATACTGTCTAGCAGCTTTGCCTACACTTTCACTGCTTACTGGACTCTCAAAGACATTTAGGGGTAAATTAGAGCTAAATAACAGCACAGAACACTGAAAGCCAGGACTGGTAGCTCTAGACAAATTTTACAAGAATGCAAGAAATTTGCCCACACCCTTGATAAGTGGACTTTTGGTTAACTAAAATCATACTGGACCATGGATGTTGCTGGAACAGAGAGTGCTGGACTAGAAAGATTCAGCTTGTAGCTTTTTATGGACCAACTTCTGTTTGGTGAGGAAGAGATGGTCAGATATTCAGCCCCATGCTCGGTGTCTCCCTAAGCCTGTGACTTCCTGATGCTCTGACTGGATAATAGGTGGTCAAGTAGTAATTGCCCTGTTCATTCTCTCTGAAGTTTCTGGCACTGGCTACTCTATGAAGAAAGGATACTGGGTTAGATGAACTACTGGTCTGACCCAATGTGTCCATTCTTATGTTCTTAAACTTAGGGAGAGAGGAGGAGAGAGAGGGCAAGAAGAGAACTTTTAAAATCTTACTAAAAAATAATTCTGATTGCATCGGATAGGAACATTGTCACATGAATTGAAAACTAGCTAAAGGACTATAAAGAGTAATGACAGTATTTCATGGAGGAAGAGTGTTTAGTTCTGCAGAGATCCAGTCTTAATGAGGTGTCTTGACATTTAAATAAAATTAAGAGTCTAGCATGATAATGAAATATAAGGATGATAGTAAATTGGAAGGAGTTGCAAACACCTGTGTGGACCAGGAAAGGCTACAGAGGACCTAAAAAGATTAGAAAACATGGGTGAAAAGTAATAAAATGAAATTCAGCTTGGAAAATGCAAGCTAGTATATCTAGGGGAAAAGAATACAAACCACACATAATGCCCAACCATCTGGTGTCTTGATCATTAGTATAAAACTGTACAGCCAATATTTTTAAGTACGGTAGTTCTTTTTCCGTTTCATAATTGAAACAGTAAATACAGCAATCTGCTAGCACAAAAGTGAAGCATTTTCTTTTGTACACTACAAGAACAATACTGTCATAAAAGTAGAATATTTAATTTTTGTCGATTGTGGAGCAAGTTATATGTATCTCATTAGTACATCTTAATTAGAAATTAGAAGTGTTTCTTTTATGAACAAAATGCTTTTTTTGCTAATAATTTTGTAAGAATATAATTGAAAAAGAAATGTTCTTGTGTATAAAATAAATTATTATTATACTTTCTTGAAAGGTTGTTTGTTTAATAATCAATCTTTCACTGGAAATCAATTTTTATTCCTGTAATGTTTTCTTAGGGAACTCATTGTCTACTTTTGCAAATTAATTTTACCCATGAAGCAAGGAAAACTTAATTAGATAAATAAAGCCCTACTCAGTCTCCTTTAGCAGACAGAAGTCACATTGTACATACTTTGGAAATGCAAGTTTTCCAGAAACTTTCAAGTCAGCAGAACAGTTTTCTCTGGAACAAAATCTTGCAAAAACCATCTGTGAAGAAACAACAAAAGTGAAAATGTTTCAAAACAGTACATTCACAGCCACAGGTACAAAGTCATTACCATGTTATTGTCTAAGTACCATGAGTGCCCAACAGCCCCTTGCTACTGAAAGAGAAACTAAATCAGCTGTTGACCTGCCCACATGCGGTGTACATAACAGACAGCCTCTCATGCTAATTGTCGCATTCTTGAGCCCATTGTGATGGTATCAATTCTAAAAAGTATACTCATGGACAAAACATTTTAGGAGACTGATGTTCCTGGGACAATTCTGCAGCTTCCTATGATCTGGCTGCAGCTACCCAGGCAATACGGTTTCATCTAAATAAAGACTGACTGACTGCCCATGTGTTACAAGGTTTCTCTGACAATAGTGATGTACATTGGTTGTGTTTTGAAGTTTCACACAATACCTATGTCACTGTATTGCAGTTTTAACAAAAAAGAATCTTGCTGAGTGCATGTGGATTGGGAAATAGAAAGTTGAGACAGACAGCAGAAGTAAAGTTATTTTGCCAGTTAAAAGAAACCTGTAGGCATCTCAAAATTCTGGATGTCAATTTTATTTTGAATTTGTGAAACTTATTACTGGTGAGGAGTCAGAATAATGTTTAATTTTACCAGTTACAAGCCGTAAGACCACTTTGACTTTTGCTCCTGCAGGAGGGGAAAGAGAGGGAAATCATTTTGTTATTGTTTCAAAATGTATGTTTTTTCCAATCACTGTTTGAAAATTTGGGGTAGCTCCAGATGATAAATACTTCATCACCATTATTTAAATAATAGAATATAAATTAATGTAAGCAGCCAGCCTACAGGGTATCTAACATGCAATTCATACTGGGATTTGATTTACTAGTCTTCTAATTTCACGTGATATGCTAAGAAAATGTCTAATACTAATGTTACTATACCTAAAACAATAAGAGAATACAATTAATAAGAGATAATTACATGCCTGAGTATAATCCTGTCCAACTTCATATGAACCATTAGAGTAAAAATGAAAAATACAAATTAGATGCATGTTTTGTAAGCAATGCATCCTTTAGGCAAAATAACATTCTAATTTTTGCCTACAGGTTTATCTATTAAAATCAAGGCAATTTTAATATCCCTGTCACCATGAGAGCTGGACACCAATTCCAAAAAATGTGTTCTTGAGTTACACTGAACAGTGTGAAATTTGCTTTAGATACTTATTTAAAATGTGTTATCATTTTGTTGAAGTTCAGACAAAAATATCCATATCTTAACCTTGCTTTTAATAGCATCTTTTTCTTTCCTCTGCTGAAGAACCGGTTCAAGTGGTGGGAACTCCTCCATACTTCTTTTTCTTAGAACATGATGTCCAAGATGATAAGTAGCTTCAATATGTATAGGAGTCAGGATATCCCTTACATCTTTCTATGAAAATTGGAAACCTAATGAGTTAACCATATAAAACAGACATGTATATAAAAAACACTGCAAGTTAATCTCTATTTTCACATACACATTCACTTCCTAAACCATAGACATTAAATCCTCTTCCTTGAATATACTTTTTTCTTCCCCTTTTCTCCATTACCTCTGTTCTAATTTTCAGTTAACAGTGATAAGAGGAATCAATTAGTAACTGAAGAGTGCCATTTATGATTAAACAACAATTGTTAATAAAAACTTTATTTAGTGGGAGACCCAACTGAATTTTCTTTGTCACCAGGTTGATTTATGGCCACAGGTTAGTAATTTTGCATATTACAAGTAAGGGTAGGTGAAAAAGAAGGGTAACAGACAAATGGAACAAAACCAGATAGGCACAATGGATCAGATATTTCTGTGAAATCTAAAAAGGCTTTCCTAATACTCACAAATAGGGTATGGAGCTGGGAGGTATAGAGCGAGATCTCCTGCCCTTATATTTTGTACTCAGCATTGAGAGGATTAAACTGCTTAATCAATAATCATTTCAACATGAAACCTTGAACATGTAGGAATGCCACAAATCAAATCCCAAATCCCAAACTATCTACTTATGAAAACTGAACAGCATGAAGCACCAAGTATTACAATAGCAAAACTTGATTGAATTATTCTCTAGGTATATGCAAGAGATAGCCACTGATTTGTCCCTCCACATGTCCACTGCTTCAGTTCTAATCTACAAGCTTGCTCTGACCCAAAATCATGTGTTATCTATTTCATTTTATGTTTTAATTTCTAGGAGGGTATCATAAATAACATTCTTTTATAGTAGGTAACTGCCTCTTACAGATATGACAATGTTACTATATTAAAAAAATAGATACTAAAGATTACATTACCTTCAAAAACGCTGAATGATTTCTGCAAGTAACATTGCTGTTAAAAATATCCATACTTCCTGATATCATATCTGATGTTCCATTAGAAGAAAAGTAAAATCTTGCAGGAGTGTTTGTCTTTCTGCTTACATCTATATTTAGTTCATAAAGCAGTACTGCAAGATTAAAAAAATAAATAAGTAAAAGTCTCTTCTTATAAAATATCTTTGAAACCTATTGATTTTCACTAATATATGATAGGAGTTACACATGTCATCATTTACACACTCCATAATGTCTCTCTCAAAATACTGTAAAGTCTAGTGTCATGCTAAATGTGGCATCTTTTAAAAAACCTTGGGAATACACACAAAGCTATAATTAAAAAAATACTACTTAGAACATATGCATGAAAATATATACCTTGCTCTTTTAAATGTATTATTTCCCTTCTGACTCTCAGAGCCAAATTCATCACTGATATGAGCCTGTGACTCCACTGAAATCAATGGAGTCGCATGCATCTACATGAGGGCTGATACTGGAGTATTGTTTTAATAATTATCTGCTAGAATCTGACTGAGGAAACCCAGTGTTAGTCACAGAAATGGCATAAATATTTCAGAAAACAGTAAATAAGAACAGATGCAATGACAGAAATTTAAAATAAATTTAAAAAAACCTATAAGTTCCTAAATCACAAATAGAACTCTGTAGATAATCTAATTACAAGCACATTTTTAGAACACGGTTGTTTTAATTCTTCATTGTTTCATTATTGTTGTGACTATCCGATTAAAGAGCAGAGCAATGCATTCAGTCTTCAAAGCTAGCATCATCTAATATTGCATTTCCTCTATAACAGCGTTTCCCAAAGTGCGGTCTGCGGCCCAGCAGCGGTCCTTAGAAAAAAAATACCGGACCTTAGAAAAATTATCGCATATGATCCTATTAATTTGTGTGACAGGGTAGCAGCACCCCGCACTGCTGAGTGAGGTGGCGCGGCCCTCTTGGGAGAGAGCCCGCCACCGCGGCATATTTGCCGGGCATGCTCCCGGGTGGAAGCACTAGATCTGGCGGGTGCTAGGACCCAGGGAGAAGGCCATGAGCACCAATGCAGAATGGGCGTTGCTGGGGGAGCCGGTGCCGGTCAATAGAGCGGCTGGGACTGGGGCCAGAAACGGGGGGGATGGGGGACAGAACAACCTGCTGGACAAGTAGGGCCAGCAACAATTTATCTGCATATTTATCATTTGCTTAATGAATATGCAAATAAATGTTACCAGTCCTCCAAAAGCTTGTGAATGGGAAGTTACTCGCCTTGTGCAGTAGCGACAGTTCTTTGAGATGTGTGTCCCTTTGGGTGCTCCACTATAAGTCTCGGGTCGTCCTGTCACTTCAAATCATCATTTTCCCTAGCAGTAAGTAGCTGGCCAGGCCACACACACACACCCTAGGCACCTCATGCCGTTTGTGCCCTGCACTTAGCATGCATGGCCTGGTTCCTGCCAGTTCCTCATGTACCCAAGTGTCTGAAAAACAAGAAAGGAACAGACTCTGAAAGAGAGGGGAGAAGGGTGAGTAGTGGAGCACCTATGGGGACACATATCTTGAAGAACTGTTGTTATTGCACAACGTGAGTAACTTCCCTTTCTTCTTTGAGTGATGTCCCGATGGGTGCGCCACCATAGGTGACTTTGTAGTAGTGCTGGAGAAACACAAGGCAGGCAGGATTCGGAGTCACTGTTTATTATCAGTTGATAATATTGCAGCGGTACTTATGTATCGTAGTCAAGATGGTGAAGGATGGCATAATGCTTCATAAAGGTATTATTTGAGGACCATGTAGCAGCATGGCAAAACTCCTGGAGAAGAATGCCCCATAGGAAGGCTATGGATGTTGCTATCACACTTGTGGAATGTGCTCTTGGTAGGTGACTTATGTTGCATGGAGTAGCATTGAGTAATGCAAGCTACAATAACTCTTGATATGTGTTGTGATAAATTCAGAGTCCCCTTGGAGCATTCTGCTGTGGAAACAAACAGGGTCTGTGATGTATGGAAGGATCAGGTTCTATCTATATAAAAGGAAAGCATCCTGTGAATGTCTAAGGTATGCAGGAAAGCATCCTGTCAAGATGAGTGGGGCTTGGGATAGAAGGAAGGGAGAACTATCAGTTCAGTGATAGGGAAGTTGGAGCATATCTTCAGTATGAAGGAAAGGTGAGAGTGCAATATTACACTGTTCCTAGTAAAGATAGTGCAGAGCAGCATCACCATAAGGGCCACAAGTTCACTCACTCTGTGGGCAGATGTTATAGCGATCAGGAAGACAACTTTCATAGTCGTCACAGAGTGGACAGGTTGCCAGTGGTTCAAATGGGGGCTGGGTGAGAGTGTCCAGCACCATCTTGAGATTCCATAACGGCAGTGGGGCCTTATGCGGTGAGTTAAGATTGTGCAAACCCTTGATAAATCTTCTCATGGTAAAGTATGCAAAAATGGAATAGCTGTCAATCCAAGGATGAAAGGTGGCAATGGCTGCAAGATGAACTCTGAGGGAAGACACAAATAAGCTTGAGTGCTTTAGAATGAGCATATTGTCTAAAATTACACATAGCAGCGTTGCATAAGGGTCAAATTTGTTCTGATTACACCACGTCACAAATCTGTGCCATTTCTGGAGGTAGGTGGAGAGTGTGGGCCACTGTCTACTATGCATTAGGACTTTTTTTTACCCGATCTGAGCAGAGCATTTCAGATTTCTTGGAACCAGTGAGTAGCCAAGCCATCAGATGCAGGTTCTGAGGTTGGGGGTGCAATAAGGTTCCCCTGCTCTGGGTCAGCAGATCATGGTGGTTTGGGAGAAGGTAGGGAGGTTGGAGAGACATCTGAGAGCGATAAGGAAATCACGTCTGCCTGGACCAGGAGGGGGCTAAAGATTTTTAGAGCCCCCTCCCTGTTGATCTTGAGTGCTCTCAGAATAAGGGGCATTGGTGGAAACACAAAGTAGTGGGCCCCTCCAGTTGACTAAGAAGATGTCTCCCAAAGATCTGTGCCTCACCTGCTCTGGAATAATACTGTGGGCATTTGGCATTGTTGCGGGAGGCAAATAGGTCTATGGGGAAATCCCCACTGATGGAAGATGGACTGAAGCACTTGGTGATGGATTTCCCACTTGTCTATTGCAAAGTACCTGATCAGAGTGTCTGCTGTAGTATTGTTGATGCCCAGTAAGTACAAAGCTATTATGGTTACATAGTTGTGGATGCACCAGGTCCACAACCGGACTGCTCTGGTGCACAGGGAGCAAGCTCGGGTTCCTCCATGCCGATTGATATAGTACATTGTAGTTATATTGTCAGTAAGTATTCTGACTATGTGGTTGTAAATACACACACCGAAGTGCTTGCAGGCATCGACGACTGCTCGTAATTCCAAAAGATTGATATGAAGCACTGTTTCACAGTCAGACCATTGACCCTGATCAAAATGACCATCCAAGTAGGGAGGCATGATTTCTACGGACAGCTGATCGCTGTGTAATGGAACCCCCGCTAGAAGATTGTCTGAGTTGATCCAGCACTGGAGAGAAGTAACCACACTTGATAGAGGAGAGATGTGTTTGTGAACATGACTCTTGGAAGGGATATACACTGATGCCTGCCAATGTTGAAGACAATGAAGGTACAGTCACAAAGTACACTGCCATGTGGCCCATAAGTTGGAGCCAGGGAAGGACCGGTATGGTGGGGCTCATGGTAACAGTCACAATAAGGTCCTGTATCACTTGGAATCTTTGCACTGGTAAAGAGGCACAGGCAGTAGTGGAGTCCAGCCTGGATCCTATAAAGTCCGGAGTCTGTGTTGACAGAAATGTGGACTTTTGCTCGTTTATAATAAGCCCTAGCGGAGCAAATATTTTTCAGGTTGTGTCTGTCATATTGCATGTTTCCGTGAAGGAATGGGAGATCAGGGTGCCAGATGTCCCTGCCTTCTCTCCGGTGCATGATGCGGCTCGATGAGGTAGCTGGGAGGTACCATGCCGGAAAAGCCCTCTTCTTGGTGGACGTGCCTGGAACTGGGAAACTCGCTCGCTGTTTTTCAGCCCTGGTAGGGTTTGAACAAGACGTAGAGGGCACAGAATCTGCTGGCTGAAGTACCTTATCAAAACAGAGCATGTATCTCCCTGTCTTGGTGTGCCTTTGCTGTTAACTTACAGCAATGGGGACATTTCTGTGGTATGTGCACCTCCTCCCAGGCACCTAACACACAACAAGTGCCCATATGATGCAGGCATTCATCTGCAACAACAGTCACATTTTTTTAAGTCAGAAAAACTTGGCATGATGAGAGGAAAATCAGAGCTCATTTTTTGCAGCCTTTAACCATGGCCTACAACATCCTTTTTCTTTTTTAACTAAAAAACAATAAATTGACTATAAACAACTAATTAACACTGAAAAACTATTCTAACTAATTAAATTTGTCTGACTAACTAGATGACTTTGAGGCGAGATGTTCGCTCTGCCTGCAACCGAGGGCAGCAACGAAGGAACTGGCAGGAGCCGGGCTGTGTGCGCAAAGTGCAGAGCGTGACTGGCACAAGGTGCCTAGGGCACACGTATGGCCTGTCCAGTTACTGCTAGGGAAAGCTCCAATCTGTGGCATCAGGACAACTCAACACCTACAGTGGAGCACCCACGGGGACATCACTTGAAGAATATTATCAGAAAATTTTAAGAAAAATAATTTTATATTTTCATCCAAATCATTGACAAAATATATATAGCTAGCACTGTGCTATGAACAAAACCTTGTGGGACATTAGAAGCCCCTATTATCTTCTGTGATCAGTTAACCAATTCATTAATCTGAGATACACTCATTTTGTAGAGTGCTGTTTTTATCAGAATGCTATGAAGCAATGATTCAAATGCCTCATGAAGTCTAAGTACAATGTTTCAACACAATTATCCTTATCAACCATATCCTTACAATCTCATCAAAATAAAGTTTTATAACTAGTTTTGATAAAACCATCCTGACCAGTGTCAATTTTGTTAGTTTAAGTCCACTGGAACTTCCCCATTATTCTGAGATCTGTTAAACATCAATATTAATGCCTCAGAGAGCTCTGATCAATTCTTTTTGTATTTTTGGGGTGGAAATGATCTGGTCCTACAGAATTACAAATATTTAATGTTAATAGTTGCTGTTTTATATCCTTCCCAGTTGCTGGTGGAACAAAGAATATTTCATTATCGCTGTAAGGCACACATGACTCATTCTTTCCAAATACAGAACAGAACTATTTGTTGAATTCTATCTTTTCTGCATTGCAATTGCTAATTTACAATCCTTGTTCAGTACTGGATCTATACCATTGTTTGGATTTCTTTTGTTTCATATATACAGTTAATTAAAATATTTTTATTTTTATTCTCAATCCTAATGTTCATAGATCTTTATTTTTCATATTGATACCTACTGATGGCTTGCTAACGTGTTTTTAATACTAGTGGTAAAATATTCTACAACATATGAGTATCTACAACAAATTGCAGTCAATAAATATTTATCAAGTAACTTACCAATGTGACCAGGGACATCTCGTCCTTTATACGTATAGCAAAGCATTAAATTCACACACACAGCAGGTTGGCCATTTTCCATACATTCTAAATTAGTTCGATTTACTGCATCAGGGTGTTTTAAAGAACCTTCAACAAGCACCACTGGTCTTGTTCTAAGAATTCAAAATGGTTCATGGTCATAACATGCTTCAGCATTAATTTATAATTACCTCTGCACACATTTGTTATTTTCAAATATAATGTTTACTATATAGCATCTGTAAGAATAAAAATAGAGTTTTACATGTTGAATTTGAGGGAGTTTATATTCATTTTTCTTTTATTCAGAATTGTTTATTTAAATATATCACTATAGAATAAATTCTAGCACTTAATGACTAACATTCAGTATTCCATAAAAGCAATAAGAGATCACTAGCAAATTGCACATTTTTAATTGTGTCCCATAATTTACAATTAAATTCAACTATCTCTAAGCACTGAAATGTATCAAGCTCACCTCAGTAGCACGGCAGAATCATCAAGAAAGGCACCAACTGCTATATCTGTACTTCCCCCCCCCAAAAAAAGAAAATTGATGAGCATCATTAGTCAAAAAGGATCACTTCTCAGGAATATACACACACACACACACACACACACCCCCCACCTTATTGCACATTCACCTTTTGGACTGTATTAAAATACGATACTTGCACATTATGGGAGATATGCTACTATATAAAGAAACATTATCTATCACATATATTTGCAATGCAGATTCTAATAATTTATGTTTACTTTCTGTTAAAGCTTCATGTTACTGTTTCTGCAATTGCTAATGCCATAGCTAAGGCTACAATTCAATGTCCACTGAAAGTGAAACTTACTGAAGCAAAGCACAATTCAGCTAAAATAAGAGGTACTTCCATCTTTTTCTCTAAACCAGAATTATGATAATTGCTATTCTTATCAGAATTAAATGTGAAATGTTCACACAACAGAGAAAGGTACCATGTGAAGTCTGAGAGTCTTAAAGGATACAATTTTCAAATAAGCTTAAATGATGTAGGGGTCTAAATCACATTGACTCACAAGGAGACTTAGGTTTCTAAATACCTAAGTCTTTTCAAAATGGAACTTGGTCGCTTATGGAAATTTTATCCTGGCTCTGACGACAGGCTTTTATTTGAAGATAGTGAATGAATAAAAGTAGAGGATACCAAAACCTGTCGACAGATGTATTCACTTGAACAATTTATCTAGTTGCTGCGATGTCTCTCTTTAGCCGTGGAATTTCTGTTTCTATACAGTCAAACTTTCACTGAAGACTCTGTGGCAAAAAGGGACTCAAACAACCGGGGAGCTTTTTCTCCAAAGACCCTCTCTCAAATCCAGTCACAGGGCCATGGCTGTGGCTTTTTCTCCAAAGACCCTCTCTCAAATCCAACAGGGGCATGGCAACATTGGGGCTACCCAGGTGTCACTGTGGGAGGCTGATATAATTTAGTCTTCATGGGGCTGCTCCAGTCCACTGCATCACAAGTTCCGTGCTACAAATCTCACTCCTGGTCCTAAACTTTATTATCTTTGGGGATTTTCAAGATTTTGCCAGTACAAACGTTAATTCTCCTTTCCTAATTCAGTTCCATAATTCAATGACTGACATCAGTTACCACCATGTTAAAAATGGTGATGCAATACATGTTAGATTGTGACATCACTGGATGAAGTACAATAATAGCTACCATTAAAAAGTCACAACTACAAACAGATATTATGATTATTTTCTCTTCTACTGTATCACAAACTTAGTTATGAGCTTGAGACTTAACTAATAGGATAATAATCTGTCACAAAAAAACCCGCTTACTTGCCTTTATCTTTCCTGCTGGTTTTCTCTTCCAAAAGTATTATGATGATGGCCTATCCCTCAAAGTTTTTGCTCCTTCATTTATGTTAGGGATACTGAGTAGCACAGTTGCTTTGTTTCCCACCAGCTTACATATAATTTCTTTTATACTTTACACAGGAACAATAGAAACAACTATTTAATTCACCTGAATATCCATTGTTATCTGCATCAATGCCGCTTGATATGGATTGTCCAAACATGCTTAAAGTGTTGCTGATTCTGTGCCCTTGTATTCTCTGAAAAATAAAGAATTAACCTAAATGAAAAGAGCTTTCTCCAGAAGTCTTTCATAATATTTATTGTAGGTGGTAACCAATCAGAAACTCTAGCATAATTACCCTGCAGTTTATCCCAATCACTTCTTGATTTTGGTTTCATTACCTTTGATTCACTATTGGTTCCTTTGCTTCAAATGTAATAGGCTATAATCCCTGCCTGAGAACTAAAACGTACTCAGATTTTTCGGTTATACTGGAAAAAAGCAGATTTCTCTACTGTTTCTACATAATTGTCATAATAACGCAATGTCCCTTTAAGTGAAGGAACTAAATCTCATCTCCTTGAGACGAATCACCAAATATATAGAGCCCTGAATATCTGCAGATAGACACTTCATATCTGTGGATAGTGGAGCAGATACCTGTGTGGGGGTCTCTGCTTCCCCCTCCTCTATTGTGGGTGGGAGAGGGTGCTAAAGCAGACCATGCACTGCCAGCAGGGAAGGGATACAAGCAGCTGCATCCTAAATCTCCCTAAAGCACGAAGGGCCGAGTGCTAGTCCTGCCCTACCCACTAACGCTCCACCTGGTGAGCACTGACTTGCAGAGCCCCTGGCACACTGTTAAAAAGGACAGCAGCCTCCACAAATGTGGAAATCCAACAGGTAGCTCCAGATGCCCCTCCTTCTCTCTCTCCCCACTCTCTTTCTGTATCTAGGAACAGAAATGACAGAGCTCAAAAGAGACTAATAATAAAATAGAAAATGTGAAAAGCCCTCTCCCCACCCCTACTTACACACAGGCATCCCCACTGCTGCCTTCCTCTTCTCTGCATGACCCTGCTCACTCCTTGCTCATCTGTGCTCCCTCCCCACTCCCCTTTCCAGAGACAAGTAAAATCCAACTCCCACATCAGATGAGGAGTTGAGGCTAGAGGATGCAGATCCATATTTTTGCATCTCCGCAGGGCTGTATAAATAGATGGTAGCAGAGAGATAGGGTTTCCCAACCCCATTCATTAAATAGACTTGAACAAACAGTTTGGGGTTCCCAGAGACATGCAGCAGTCAAACAGAACTGGTCACCCAAATAGCAATGGTAAGCATGAACTCAGAACTGTCACACATGCCTTGAGTACAGTGGAAGGATAATAAACAAGTCATTGTTCCTATAGGAATACGCACGTGCAAAAATGGCCAGGGTTGAAATCAAAATAAAAACTATATACAGGTTTAACCTCCCAAATCTGGAACTCTCTGATGCAGCAACATCCATGATCCAGCAAGGCCACAGATATTGCTGGACCAAGGAGCCCTGGGAGAGCGGGGTTTGTGGAGTCCTGTCTGGGCCAGCAGTGGCTAGGCAGGGGAACCCCAGTGTCAGCAGGACCAGACAGCATCTGGGAGCCTCCGCCACAGCCAGGAACCCCAGTTGTCAGTGGAGTCAGGCCACCAAAGCTGCCCCAGCTGGGGAACGCTGAGAACTCCCTGGTGGCAATGGGGCCACACAGCAACCTGAGAGCCCCAGACAGGGAACCCCAGTGGCAAGGGGCAGCCGGGAGTTCTGGCCTCAGCAGGAGAATCCCCAGTGGCAGAGGAGCCGGCCTGGCAGCCCCGAGCAGCAAACCCCAGGAATCCCCCAGCAGCAGCAGGTTTGGTGGCAGCCGGGCAGCCCTGGCCAGAAACACCCCGGGAGTAGCAGAGCGAGGCCACAGCTGTGGGGCAGCGGCTGGGTGGCCTCAGGACTGGGAAAACCCTGCAGGTACTGGGGCCAGCAGCAGCCAGGTGACCCTTGGTAGGGAACCCCTGGTGGCAGTGAGCAGGGAGCCTTGGCTAGGCCAAAGTTAGTGAAGCAGCAGCAGGGCAGGGAAACTCCCTGGTGGGGGACAGCTCACTTTCCAAGGGTGTCGGACAAGGGAGGTCCAACCTTTACTATGTGAAAGGCCAGAAACTGAAAAAACACAAATATACTCATTTGTCCCTTAGGAAAGACAAGAGAAACACACTATGGCTAGGTCTCCGTACAGATTTATAGCAGCATAACTATGCCAGGCAGGTATGTGAAAAATCAATATGTAGATACACTGAAATAGCTCACAGTATAGAAAGCTTCTCCCATTGACATAACTACTGCCTCTCACGGAGATGGATCAACTAAGCCTATGGAAGAAGCGATTCCATCAACACAGAAGCATCTTCACTTAAGTGCTAGAGCAACGCAGCAGCACCAATGAAGCATTTTAAGTATAGACTTGTACAATGCTGACAACCTGCTCCAATTAAATTTAATTTTAATAATTGTAAAAACTTTTCTTAACTCAGTGGTGGGTTTTTAAGAGACTAACAAGAAAGCCATACCTGTGAGAAGGATGAAGATATCCCATCCTCCCTGCCATTATATATGTAGATAGCACCTTCTAGATTGTCTTCTTGGGGAGCTCCAATGGCTACATCTGTAGAAGGATTTTATTGTAACACATTCATGTGATATATAATCAGGAAACAAGAAAAATGTTTTATAGAGTTTTCTCATTTTGAATTTGTTTTTATTTCATGTATTGGAGACAGTGTAGATTGATGTTTATATTAGTGGTGTTAAAATGCATGTAATTAAGTAACCATATAACTGCTGAATTTCTGCAGTTACATGCGGGGAGCCACCTTTTAAGCCAACTCCCTGTGTGTACTGGCTCCCACTTGCCCCCCTGCACTGCTGCCTCAGATATGGCTGCCAGGGAGCTGCCTGCTGTCCCACACTGCTGCCTCTGTTAGCTTTTAAACCAGCTCCCCATGCATACTGGGAGTCTGCGTGTAACCATGAAAGTTAATCAATAAGCCCAGACTAACCCTAGCTTATATTAGGTCAAACATTGCTTTTATAAGTTTACAAACTGTCTTGCAGAGCAGTGAAGTATGTGACATATGATGGTTCTGAATTTTATAACCTATTCAGCAAGAGCGCAGGAAGTAGACTGGATTGGTCTTATAGCAACATGAGACTCTATTTATAGCTATAATTTATATGTAAAATATTTGTAAATATAGCCCTGATCTCATAATCAAGCTATAACAGATCTGTACACAGAGCCACAATACGACCTTACACAAGTACATGGTTCGCACTAGTAAGTTTGATTTCAGGGCCCCATCTTTTGTAATGCTTGCTTGTTTGGTTCGTTGTTTTGTTTAGTATATACCATTCCTCCAAGAAAAAACAGAGCGGCTCATGGAAACATCCAAATTTGAGAAAAGGTTTCAGAGTGAAAAGAAAGAGTTATATCAGTAGTACTGCTTCGGAGTGGCTTCTGCCCTGTTTTACAGTAACAGAGCCTGAATATCTTTCTAGACATGGTTTTTCTGAGCTATGGTGACTTTGGTGATGACAGATGGGATGGGAACTCAGTCTAAGAGTATGGGAACAGCCCTTCAGCTGTGAAGGTTTATCTGCACAGTGTGTTAATTCACACCAGAGATGTAAATTCTGGAGTGCTCTAGCTGGCAATGTGGACCCTGCTAAAGTACACTAAAGTTCCATAATACACATTAATGCAGTCCAGTTTCAAACTGAATTTCCATCAAAGTCAATACAGTTGTGTCTGGTACAGAGAAAATAAATGTGTCTTAAATTTCTATAAAAGATCTCTCATTGCTAAAACTATGGTAATTTTGCTGCCCTCTGTTGTTTCCACAAGCATTAAAGCTGTGGGATACATGACATCTAGTATTATTTTGTCTAAAACAAGTCAATTTTCCTTGTAAATGTCCTTAGCATCTCATTAACGTGCTTGTATGGATATATAGCAGTGGAATTAAGGTAACTGGCTTTAAAAAAAGTAGTATATTGAATGCCTTCATGATTTCATTCTAGTGGGGAGTGCAAATGCAAAAAAGAATAGCATTCAACTATTCTAAAAGACAAGCATAGTTGTTGAAATAGCCAGAGCTAATGATACCAAAAGAAAGATATGAAATACATTAGTTCAAAATGCACCAAGGGAAATGAATAGTGATAGAGAGGTAGATGTGTTAGTCTGATCTTGCTAAAACAAAAGGAAAAACTAGGGAAATGAAGATATTTTTCAGCTTCACTCAAACAATCTGACCCTTTACAAAAAGTGTAATAATACAAGTCAAGTCAAATAAAAAAAATAAAATAAAAACCCAGACACACTCAAAAAAGGAAGATTTCTGCTGAGTATTCTCTGCTTGAATCTATGACCATACTGCAATGGTTAAAGTGTTACATATCTCTACTGATTAGATAAAAACCATTACAGATGTGCTACCTAATTAAGACTAACCATACATTCTTTGAGTTTGAATTCTTCACTGATGTACAGCCAACTAACTTCTCTGATTGAGCCATAAGGTTTAAACTACTGAAAAAAACCCATCTCTGTGATGTACTATTTCATTGCACTTCTATAGACAAATGGCCTCTATGATCATTTAAGATTTTTTTAAATATTTCTTTTCCCTATCTTTTTTTTTTGTTATACGTAATATCTCCCACTTTCTCTCGCCTCAGTTGTAAGTTGTCTTGCTGTCGCCCCTCTGCTTTCTCCTATATCCTTTCTTGTGTCAACCACAAGCTAAATATGAGTCAAGTGTGTGACACGGTTGCAAAAAAAAGCAAACATGATTCTGGGATGCATTAACAGGAGTGATGTGAGCAAGACACGAGAAGTCACTCTTCCACTCTACTCTGTACTGATTAGGCCCCAATTGGAGTATTGTGTCCAGTTTTGGGCACCACATTTCAAGAAAGACATGGAGAAATTGGAGAGGGTCCAGAGAAGGGCAACAAAAGTGATTAAAGGTCTAGAAAAGGCCTCTGAGGGAAGACTGAAAGAACTGGGTTTGTATGGTTTGGAAAAGAGAAGACTGAGAAATGACATGATACCTAAATGAGTGTTACAAGGAGGAAGGAGAAAAATTGTTCTCCTTGACCTCTGATGATGGGACAAGAAGCATTTGACTTAAATTGTGCCAAGGGAGCAGAGCTGGCCCGAGCCATTCTTGTGCTCTCATCCCCCCCAGCCTGGCAGCACCACGCGGTACCCCTTACAATCGGGCGCCCCAGGCTATAGCCCGGTCAGCCCGTAGCTTGGGCCAGCTCTGCAAGGGACGTTTAGGTTGGACATTAGAAAAAACTTCCTAAGTGTCAGGGTGGTTAAACACTGGAATAAATTGCCTAGGGAGCTGTGGAATCTCCATCACTGGAGATATTTAAGAGTAGATCAGATATACATCTATCAGGGATGATCCATTCTAGATGGTTCTTGGTCCTGCCGGGAGGACATGGGACTCGACCTGATGATCTCTCAAGGTCCCTTAAAGTTCTAGTATTCCATGATTCTGTGTCTCATTACCTATGATATTATCTGTTCTATGGTACATTATTTATTATACCTTTTGGTCGAATAACTTTTTCCACTTAGCGCACTGTGAGCATTTCTAGAATTACAAATTATAACTACTTGCAGGATTCTCTCTACATAAACCAGAAGGGTATGGTGTATCTTTAAATTATGTTAATTTGACATACCATATTTTACCTTATTTTACCAATTATCATAATCATTTGCATAGATTAATCACATAAAGGCAGAAATCAGTTTGTAAACAGAATTAGGGATGTTAGCGTATACCTGTTTTCACGATTAACCGATAAGCCTGAGTTCATAGGCAGCAAGCTCATGGGGAGCTGGCTTTTAAAAAATTCAGAAGTTACTTGTTTTCACAAATAAACGTTTTTAACATCCCTAAAGAAAATATGAAATTTTCTCTGTCCTGAAAGCTTACAGTCCAATACTTGCATCTGACGAAATGGATCTTTGCTCACAAAAGCTAATGCTCAAATAAATCTGTTAGTCTTTAAGGTGCCACAGGACTCCTCGTCACTTTTTCAGATTCAGACTAACACGGTTACCCTCTGATACTAGTCCAACACATGTAAGACATGACAAAATGAAGCTATGGAGATTAATGGTGAAGGGGGAAGAAAGCACCAGAAGAAAAATTCTTGAAAGAGAGTAGGTGCCAGAGAATGAAAAGAGGGTGACTGTTCCAAGACTAGAGGGCTGTATGACAGAGAATGTAGAGCCAAGAACGTGAGATAACAGGAGCTGTAGGAAGAGCAATCCAATGTGAATATAAGAAAACAAAACAGAATTCAAACTTGTAGGTGAAAGACTATACTGATGTGGTAAAGAAGACACTACATTAAAGGTTGCCCATTCTTGGCTCTGAGTGTATTTGGTTTCTCCCATATAGATTTACCTTTGATTGAGAAAGCAGAATTTGTGGCTGAGCTTATAAAGACAACCCTAAGAAACCATCAGAGAAGTCCTGGAAAGTAATTCATCTGCTCTCATATGCAGGCTGTCTGCATGTCTGCCTTCTCTGCTGATCTACACTCTACTTGCTACAGTGGAAACACTGAATGTTACTTGTCAGACAGGGCATCAGAGGTGCTGACAATAGGCCCACTCCTTTGAACCTCCCTTTCCACTGGGGTTTCCATTTTGCTTACCTAGCTGCAGCCCCTCCACCCAAACCAAAGGTTTGAAAGCCACTTTTGACGCTAGTTCAAGGGCTGAAAGAGGGGGTGACATTGCCAGAACAATAGGGGAGGGAGACTTTTTTAGTGGTGATATTTTGGAATGAAGAGAAGGAGGAAATGACCATAACCATTGCAAGCTGTGGTAGACCTTTTCATTACAATTTTTGGAAGAGTTCTCATGTTGGTGTTTTTTTTTTAAATGTGAATGTATTGCTCTTTAGGGGAGTAGGCTTGCCAACCCTCAAGACTGAATTTCTCTATCCTGTGAGCAGGTCTAGTACAGGCAATAGAAGTGTAAACTTTGCAACCTTGTTTTACCAAGATGGACTTCATGCAAAGGTCAGAGGATAATTCATTCCCCATATCCATTTAGTCCTTGGCCTCTCTGCTGAGATAGGCTGGGATTATTTGAATATTACTGTTTCACATATAGGATAAGAGCCACAAGATGGTAATGAATGTGGACATGGTGTAAATTTGAAACACAGGTGTAGAATGAAAGATTATTTCATCCATTAGCTATCTCCTGAAATATTCACTTCTCATACTTATATTACATTGCTGTCCTGAATTAAAAATATACTCTGTAATACCTTCAAATCCATCATTATCAATGTCTCCTAGATTAGCTATGGCTTCACCGAACCTTGCTGCATAAGAATCACTCCCAGCTAGTTCTAGCTTCAGTTTTAGCATCTCTGCTTCCTAAAGGGAAAAAAAAACCCAAATGTACATTACAAAAAAGGGATTTCCAGGGACAGGTGTTGCTGACCTTTTTAGTGCATAGCTATCAGTCAGTAATAGTTTATCTCAGAATACACAGTTTTGAACCATAAGACTATCTAACCATAAGATATATGAATTGCACAATTAAAGGGAGCTTCAAATGTGGCTCTGTACTGAAACATTAACATGTAAAATTCACCTGATCCTTGCGTGAGTTGAGAATCACATTTGCTCATTTCAGTAAAAGTGTGGCACCTGGATTCTCTTCTTGTGAATCAACAATTGCAGCGGTTCTCGACCTTTCCTTTGTGAGACCCTCCTAACATGCTAGAGAAACTCCATAGCTCAGCTGGGCCACAACAACTCTATTTCTATATATAAAAGCCAGGACCTGCATTAAGGTGCTAAGCCCTAAGCTACAGAAGCACTATGAAGCTAAGTTGCTCAAACTTTGACTTCAGCCCCTGGTGATAGAGTCTGGGATTCTAGGCTGTGGTTCTGGAATGTAGGGCTTTGGCTTTCTGCCCTGGGGCCAGAGCCAGCCCAAGCTACTGGCTGACCGGGCTACTGCCCGGGGTGCCCCATTATAGGGGGAGCCGTGCGGGGCTGCCAGACTGGGCGGGGGTGGGGCCGCGCATGCACCAATGTCCCGGGGGCGGGGCTGCACATGCACCAGGCGTTTGGGGGCCGGGGGCGCACATGCACAGCACTCCCAGGACCGGCACCGTGCTCCTCGGGCCCAGGGCACACGAATGGCTCGGGCCGGCGCTGCCTGGGGCCTTGCAAGTCTAATGCCAGCCATGTTTGGCAGACTCCTTGAAAGCTGCCCACAGCCCCATTAGAGGGCCTGGGACGCCTGGCTGGGACCCACTAATCAACAGAATTGTTTACTAAGAACTTGAGCTCTGCTTGACTTTAAAGTACTAGAGACATTTTCATAGTGCAAGGCAGGTCACTCCTCAGCTAACCACACTGGTTATGAAAAAAATAACTACAAATAATGAATATGGAACCCTGTAATGTTAACAGAATTGCTTTTCATACTGGAGTTGTCCTTTTATTTATTTTTTGTAATGGTAAACATCTATGTGCAATAACGAGCCTACATCAAAACAATACAGAGATTACTGCAGAGCCTCAAAAATATAATAAAAGGAAGCTGCCATCCTTCCATCTCCCATTCCATTCAGTTCACTCCCTGTCTCAGAGTTAATATGATCTTTGGACAGCTGGGAGCATCTTTGGAAACCTCAAGGTATAACCAAGGCCGTTACGAAGGCAACAGTTGTGGTAAGAAACAATAATGAGAGATGTGTATGTGAGAAAGAAATTAATTGGGCATAAAATTCAAAAAAAAATTTAACAGATTAAAAGAAAGCAGATGAAAACGGAAAAGCGACCACATTACATTATAGTCTCTGGTTAAAAAATTGATACCAATATATGATAACTCCAGTTATGGGGAATAAAGAGATCTACCATTCTCTTTCCCAATGCTATTAGGGACTACACATCTTTTGCTCAGCTGCAAGTAGTCTGAGTTTTGAGCATCCCCTATTCAGTTCACAAACTGTTCCCTTTTCTGGCAATTAAAAGAATGGCTTTCAACAAGCTAAAATGCCTATTTTCCAAAGTATAAGCAATGTAATAGCAGAGTGCATGCAAATAGACTGCAGTAACACACTAACTGCATACCAAGTTGTTATGAAATCACACTGTTTTTCTTCTGCTTTAACACTTTCTATTATGAATACCAGCTTTACAATAGATGTGTCTAGCACTTGATACATTCATATGCAAAAATCATACTGCTGTTCGATCCTGTTCCCAGACACTACCATAAAGTAGGCTTCAGTTAAGATCCCAGTTTGCATGATGGTACATTTGCAGACTACGTAATTGTACTGTAAATCATGTAGTTCAAATGCATTGTCTCAAAGTTCCTGTGATGAAGCAGAAAATACTGCTCAGTTTGTAGGACCAGCACTACTGGAAATTATTATTGATTTTTTAAAAAGAAGAAACACTTACGGAACCCGAGTTGATGTAAACATAAACTCTTCCTTCTTCTCTGATTTTACTTTGCATTGGCGCGCCAACTAGTAAGTCTGAGAGGCCATCAGTATTCAGATCCACTGCACAAACAGCAGCTCCAAAATAAGAACCAAGCTGTGCACGCACACAGGAGAAGTAAATAGCCATCAAATATTTCAGAAGATTCACAAAAAGTTATAATATGTACCAAAATAACATAAAAGGTTACCTTTTTACCCTTTAGTTCAAATAGAATATTTAATTGCTTTGCTCCAATGCTAAAAATGTATGCCTAAAATAAGAAGAGAACATAGGAAAAATTCAGCTCTTTTTGCATTTCCTGTGTGTCTGTAAGCATTAAATCTATGGTTAAGGAAACAAATTCAAAAAAGCACCAAAACACCACACAATTTAACATAAAATATATCCATATAACATCTCCTACCTGGTGCTTTCTTAGCACCACAGAATAAACACAACACTCTTCCATCACCTACTGCATTCCCATTCATTCCTTTGCACAAAGACGCTCCAGTACTTTCTGTACCTCTCAGAAATCCACCCTCTGAATTTTCCATTGCACTAATCCAAACAGAAATGTTACAGCTATGAAACACCTCTTACTTTACCAGTCTGCTCCTGTTGGGGAGCTCCTCCAATTACTTCTGTACTAGTTGGTGTCAGAAAGTGACCCGCTCCAACAGCATATCCTGCAAATGAAAAAAAGTCATCACTGAATGTAGTAAATGTGACTCCAGGCAACATTAATATAACTTGAGCTGCTCTCTATGGCATATTGTCAACTATACAATAAAGTAAACTATTGTCTATTACTTTTCATACAATATATGCCTTAGTCAAATGAGTTATGATGGAATAAAGTGCAATTTCATGCAGGTAAATAAAAAACTAAATGTTTAAAAAGGTAGGTTTTTATAAAAACAAACAAGATGGTCAATAACAATAAGATTTACTCCCAATTGCTAGATTTCACATTTTAAGATGCCAAACATCCGCGGTCTGGCATGCTTTTAGTTAGCTGGATGACCAGGTTTCCTGTGGTCCCATAAAGTTTGTTTGCAGTCACTAGTCCTGGCTCTCAGTGTTCTGTGCTGTTATTTAACTCTAATTTACCCCTAAATGTCTTCCACTGCTTACTGGGCTGTTTGATGTGTTGGTAATGCTGCTAGACAACATTGACCTCTCGTGGTTTGGTCAATTCTCTGGTTCGACAATGGTTAGGTCATGAGGGTTTAGACTAGACTAGAGAGGTTCAATCTGTATTAGAATTGCTGTCTGACAAAAAAATATTGGTGGTAATGATTAGGCAGTTGGATCTATAGGGTCAGACCTTTACATCTATGCAGGGCCCTCCTAATTAATCGATTTACATAATGATGTAAAAATCCATACCCATAAAGCCTATTAGAGGATTGGGATCTCATTTTTTTAACTATGTATAACTGGCCATTTGCATTCCTTTCAGAACGCAGCGTGGGACACAAATGGTGGAGCTCAGACAGTTCATTCCTATTCTGCCCCCTTGTAACTCAGAACTCTCATTAGTTTTCCATGGAAGTAGGGAGCGCAATATCATAGAGAAGAATATGCCTTAAATCTTTAAAACTAGCCAAGATGACTGTTTAGAGCTCAGATTCCCATTATGCCAGCACTTTCTTTTCATGTTTTAAGGGGTGAACAAGGCCATTTATCATTTAAAGGTCAATCCCCAGTTTCTACTTATTCAACAAAAAATTAAGCTTAAGTGGATAATCCTTAATTTTCATGCTCTGACCTTTTCTTTCAAAATATTTTGCTTTTGTCAAATTGTAAAAACATACATTCCTAATGATTTGTAAAAGGTAACTACAGGTCCCAGGTCTCTGCCCTCTTGCGAAAATTATTTTTCATACCATGTGTGGAAATTATATGAAGTTTATAGATTTATTATTCAAGACTCTGCACCTAACCAAACCTTTGTGAGGTTCTGACAACTGTTCATCTAGGCTATGATCTATTGCTAAAACATTTCTAAAAATCTCAGGAGAAACCCTGAGAAAATGTTACAAAGGCACAAATAAGTTGATTAACTATTTCCTTATTCATTTGCATTGACAGAACAGAAGCCATCAAATGGAAAATAAGTTGAATGGATAGGTGTTCATTTTAGAAGAGAAAGGCAGTATTTCCTTAACCTAGCTCCTTGTCTAACTTCCTTTTTAAGTCAGTAGGCGTTTACTGATCTTTAACAGGAGATGCATTGGATTCCTAATAATGGGTGGGTGAAGGATTTTATCTCCAGACCTAAAGTCACCAGGGGATGAAAGAAGTGGTAGTCGCAATTCAATGGTGCTGAAACTGAAGAAAGAAGAGGAGCCGAAATAGAAAAAGCTGCCTCTTCTCAAAAGCACCAGAGTAGTATGTATTTGGAATTCCCAAAAGAATAAACCTATGAAAAAATGTGGCTTGGGGAAAGGTAATAGACATGGCTTCATCCCACAGCAGTTCTATTGAAAATTTTCCTTGGAAATAAATATTCTTTGATGCCATCTTTCCCCAGATAGATAGGGCTATAGCTCTAGGGGGAAGGGACAATAGCACAGCTTCCTTAGGAGTTATGCTGCTGGGGAACTGGAGAGCAGTGCAAGTGGGAAGAGCCTCCAAACAGACACAGTAATTCCTCATTTAACACTATAGATATGTTTCAGAAAATGATCGTGTTAAGTGAAAATGTGTTATGCGCGGTCAATTTTCCCATTGAAAATAATGGAAAACGTGGGGGTTGCATTTCAAGTAGTGGTGTCTGTTGGGACTGGGACATAAGGTTGGGGGAAAAAGGGAGTTACAGCAGGGAGGGGAGGTGTTTGGCTCCGGGGAAGGGAAGGTGAGGAGAGGGGAGGGGGATTGGGTTGGGAGTATGCCTCTGTGATGGGTCTGCCGGGACCTGCACTGTGTCCGGCAAGGGGAGGTCACCAGGAAATGGCGCAGCGAACAGCGAACCCTCCGTCGCTTTGCAGGGAGGCGGGGGAAGCCCTGCGCAGCTGCCAGCGACGGGCTGGCTGGGGAAACCCAGCCATCGGCCTGCAAGTGGGGGTGGGGAGAGGGGACAAGGCATCCAGTGGGGGGGAGTCAGCAGAGAATGGCGCAGCGAGTGGCAAACCCTCCGCCGCTTTGCACGGAGGTGGGGGAAGCCCCGCACAGCTGCCGGCAATGGGCTGGCTGGGGAAATCGTGTTATTCCGGGGACGGTCATGTAATTCAAAAAGTGTTCCTTAAAAAAAATCGTGCTATAGCAAAAACGTGTTAAGCGGGCACGTGTTAAATGAGGAATTACTGTATTCTAATATCTGCAGAATGTCCACTATCCAACAGGTGGCCTACAAACTTTTAACTTAGACTGGAGGAACAATGCCCATGTAAATGTATCCTTTTTGCAAGAGCGTATAATATCAATGCTTATCAGCTAGATGCTCCCTCAGGTCAAATGCATCAAACCACCTAAAACTTAACTTTAAACATATAAGTACTCCTATTGTCTTCACATATTTTTCATGACTATGTTTAAACATAATCATAAGCAGAAGTGCAACCCACCCACCTGGTGTGGTTACTGAGCAATGCAAGTGGCACTTAGACCACAGCAACAGTTAAGGCCAAGAGACCTCTACAGCATGTGCTGAGAGTAAGCTGGCTTTTAGTTCAGAGAGTAGGGGCTCCTCTACTGAGCTCCCAAGTTCAAATCCACCTGGTGGTGGTTACACAAGTACATTGCTAGATTGCTTTAATTATGAGACGGGGGTCTCAAGATTAGGTTTGACTTCAAGGGGGTATTTCTGTTATCCCTATCATCATCCATCTTCTAAAAAACAGAGGAAACACTCCCCACTAGGCTAACCCTACAAGAAGCGTGAAACTAGAAAGACCAAGTACAATTGAAAGTTCATACTGAACTATAAGAGGACGCATAGAAGAGTTAAACTTCTGATAATTTGTAATGTTTAACTCATTAAGATGGCAATAATTAAAAATAGCTTAAAACCTGCCAACTGGCTAAAAAATGTTGAGACCACATCCTGTTTTAAAACAATTTCATCCTGTTTTTATTCTTGTATTTAGACCTATTCAAGTGCTACTAAGGAAATCCTGCCAAATGTTATTCAGTCACTAACTTCTCTTTCCAAACCTATTTTCTTCCACAGGGGGGCTACTACTGAAGGACCTCCCTTCCCTCTAGATTGAAATCAAACCCTACAACACCCACTTCTCATGTTCTTCTCTTGTAAAACTGCAGATTGCCATATTCTCCACATAGGCTATTAAGAAAAAAAAACCAGAGACCAACCATAGATCACTGTCAGAAGATAGGATAGCGAAAATATATAAAGTAATTACAGTAGTCTGCTTTGAATTGTATGCTGGTCACAAAATATGCTTTCCCCAATGAGTAATGCTATTATTATTTATGTGCTGACTGTGTGTGTAGCACCATAAAAATATACAAAATGATTTCAGAATAAGCCTTGAAGAAACTGCACCCTAAGAGAAATATAGGAGATTGAACACACTGGAAAGCCCAGGGCAAGAAATAAATTGTTACCCAGTTAACATGGCATGAAGGGGCACAAGAGAAGCAGTGCCGGGGGGGGAGGGGGGAGGAACACAACTCTTGGGCAGGTGGGCAGGATGGGATGTATTGGGATTGGGCAGACACTCTATGCTGTCCCAACATGCTGATCAGAATGTTGTTCTGTATGGGAATCTAGTGCAGTTTACTCCTTCCCTGGAACATCAGGAGACGAAGGAAGGAGCCTGTTACTGTTCAGATTACAATCCTTCTCCGAGTTTGTATGCCAGACTGGTATGAAAATGGCCACCAAGTCCGATATGACATACTGGCTACTGCCCCCACCCCCTTCACGGAGCTGCATCTCTTCCAGCGCCCTCTGTATAGCAGCTACCCATCGAGAGAACTGGGCTGAGGGGGAGAAAGGGGCAGTACAGCAGCCAGAGGAGCTGTCATTGGGAAAGAAGCACCCCAGCCCTGCCCTTCACTCACTTCGGCCTCCTGCGAAGATGCTGCTATAATGAGATAGCTGGAGGAGAGGCTGCAGCATTGAGGGGCAGGGATAGAGCTAAGACTTCTGCTCCTTTCCCCACTGGCAGGGGCAGAGCAGGGAAAGCAGCAAAACTGCCGGCAGCTCCTCCAGCTGTTGTACTGACCCCCATCCTAACCTTCCAGGTAATGTGAGATGGGGGAGGGGAAGAGCCTAGGGGCCTTGGGCTATGGGTGGGCAGAGTCATATGAGGGAATCATATGGGGAGGTCACCTGTACCCCACAGCCCCTCAGTTGCTGTGCCCTCCCTCCATACTGGGAAGAAATGTATTTACTTTCACTCCACAAACACAAACCCCTTACTCTAGGCTTATAGCAAAGCCATGACTGAGGCTGTTATTAAGCATCTTTAAATTCTGCATTAAATCTGCTTATTGCAGTCTTGAATGAAGTATTCAAACCATTTATGATCAAAGTCCTTACAAACAGAGCAGTCTTAAGCATGCATTGTGGACTCCTTTAAAAGACTAGAAATTATTGTAAATGAAGATAAAGCTGTTCAGAAATAAATGTCTAAGGAAATTCCGATGAGGGGCAGATTAAAAGCAGGATTTTAAAAAGATTAACATCACACTTAGAATCGCAAGACAGGTCTGAAATATTGCCACTCTGGGGTATAACCAGACATTTCACATCCAGTTGTATAGACCAGGGAATCAGCTAAGCAGATGAATAAAAATGTTAAATACCTAAATAACTTCCAAATTTTACTTGGTTCTTTGAATCTACATAAGTTTGAAAGATATTCGCAGTGAGGTTGTACACAAAGACGGAACCAGTCCAATAATATGATCCTGGGGCTCCCATTATAATTAAATCCTGGAAGAAAAAAGTGTTATATTTATGTATTAAACTCTTCAAAAGAAGCATAACTAGTCAAATTCATTCCTGGTATAACTCCCCTGAAGTCAATAGAATTATACTGGAGATGTATTTGGCCTAATATCAATGCATTAAAGTTAGATCACATGTAAAATGTTCCACATTTTTAAATTATGATTATTATTTCCCTTCTAAAAGCTTTAAATTGCTCACATCTCAAAGAACCTTGTTTGTGGCTATCTTTCCCCTTCAGCAGAAGGTTTTAGAAATCATATTTTCAGGCAGAACATAAAACGTACAGTGTAGTGCAGGGGTTTTCAAACTTTGGGTTGTGGCTTATGGGGGAAGCCACTAGCTGGCCACGAGACACCTTGTTAACCTGAGCATCCACTTGAATGGCTGCTTGCAGCTCCCAGTGACCATGCTACATCATTCCTAGCCAATGGGAGCTGCTGGAAGCAGTGCACGCTGGCCCACCACTTTCTGCAGCAACTATTGGCCAGGAAAGGTGAACCACAGTCACTGGGAACTGCAAGAGGCCATGCCTGGGAATGCTCAGGTAAACACAGCATCTTGTAGCCAGTTAGTGGCTTACCCTTACAAGCAACAATCCAAAGTTTAAAAACTCCTGGTGTTATGCATCATTCTTTGTGAGCAAGTTTACTATTCATGTTTAATATTACTTTAAATAGATTATTCAGAATGGAATAATAAAAAATGCTCTATTGTATTCTTCCCATTCTTTCAAAATAAAAAGAACTTTTTGGATTTAAAATAGAGAGCCACGATAAATTATGTTTCTCATGTTGAAAATTGTAACATACCTAAAACTCTTGTATTTAATAAATTTCATTTTAAAAAGGATGATGTTTCATTAGAGCACTGTAGTAACACACAATTGGTATCTGCCTAACATCTGTATCTGCAAAAATGATCTGCAGATATCTGCATCCACATCTGTGGATGAGGAGACCTGTGGATATCCATACATTTGCAGGGATCTTGATACAAAATCTATATCCATATCCACAAAAATGAGCCACAGATAACTGCATCCACATCTACAGATGAAGATACCCATGGGTATAAAGCGGAGATCGTGGATTTGCAGGGTCCTAAACATTATAATTAGGTATACATGTATGATGTTCTCCAGGGAATAAGTAAATAGAAAATTATTTTTTTAAATACACACCTTTAAGTAAAAACTAGACATCCCAACCTGACATGACCCATGGTTTTCTCCAAACCTTCGCACATAATCTGAATATAAAAGCAAAAATTATTTAAAGTCTTCAATCATCTTGAAAAATAGAGTTTCAGAAATGAGAGTCAAGATAAGTAACAAGCATTCATATCCAGTTATGGAAAAAGAACGTGGACTTCATCCTTATAATACCAAAATAATAAAGAACTTGAGAATAAAATTGTCCCATACATAATGCATCACTTGATTGGCGCTACATTCCAAAGCCTAGGTTTAGTGATTTTAAAAAGGCAATAATCTTACCTATAAGTCAGTTCATGAACAGCATGTCAAAGTGAAAAGTCGTTATACACACTGCTTCAATAACAAATGCTGGTAGGTTTAATGTTCCTCTTCCCACCCAATTTACAACTCCAGCCATAAATAGAAATAACTATTTTCACAGGAGTTCTCATGACACTTGTACTTTGCATGTCTGCAAAGAATCCTGTACAGCACTGATCTCCAACCCTTTTAACCACAAGATCTCTTTTTCAATATAAGTGCAATGTAAGATCTACCTCAAACCCAAATACCCTTGCCCCACTTCCTTCCTGCCCCTGCTCCACCCCTTCTCTGAGGCCTCCCTCTGCTCACTCCCTCTTTCTTCCTCTCCCATCCTCACTCGGGCTATGTCTAGACTACATACAAGCCTCTTTCAAAAAAGCCTCTTTTGAAAGAGAGCATCTAGACTACAAGCAGATTTTTTGAAAAAGCAAGCCACTTTTTCGAAAGAGTCTAGACACTCTCTTTCGAAAAAGCACAGTTTGCATTCAATAGAGTACTTTAAAAAAAAGCGTTATTCCTCATAAAATGAGGTTTACCATGATCGAAAAATCTGCCGCGTTCTTTTGATTTACTTTCGAAAGAACATGGCTGCAGTCTAGACGCAGGTGACTTTTTTTGGAAAAAAAGTCTACTTTCTTCGAAAAAACCCTAGTCTAGACACACCCTCACTTTCACCAGGCTGGAGTAGGGAGTTGGGGTGCAGGCTCTGGTCTTGGGCCAAAGGGCTTGGAGTGTGGGAGGGGCTCCAGGCTTAGCCCAGAGCAGGGGATTGGTGTCCAGGAGGGGGTCCAGAGTGCAAGTTCTAGGAAGGAATTTGGGTGCAGGGGGACTCACGTCTGAGGCAGGGGGAGGAGGTTCAGCGCTGGGACAGGGGTTCAGGAAGCAGACACTGGCTGGACACTATTTAACTGAGGCTCCGTCTACACTATAAAGAGTAAGAAAAAGATATGCAAATTGCAAACCACAATATGCTTATCTTTTTCTGCTACTCTTTCTAAAGAGTGCCAAACTTCAAAAAAAAAACCCAACAAAAAAACCCAAAAAAACCCCCAAAACTCCTCTTTCGACACATCTTTTCTTCCTCATAAAACGAGGTTTACAAGGATGGAGAAAGAGCCATCTTTTTTTTTTCAGAAAAGCGGACACATTCCTTGGACGCGGTATAGCTTTTCCGGGATACCTCCAGTATCCCAGAAAAGAGCTATAGTCCAGACGTAGCCTGAGATGGCTTCCAGGTGGTGGAGCAGTGGGTTAAGGCAGGCTTTCTGTGTGGAGGAAGGGTACAGAAGTGGAGGGAAGAGAGACATCCTGACATCAGTGCTCCCCCTTTTTTCCCCTCCCACAAAACTTCTGTCGACAAAAGCCTTTAGTCTAGACATACCCTGAAGTAGACCTCTTCCTGCGGGCTACAGATTGGGTAAGAGATTTGACCTGGAAGGAGTCAAACTCAGGAGAGGAGCAGTACACAGTCTGGGCTGTTACTGGGAGCAGTGGGTCAGATGTTCAAAAAGAGGCCACACCAGTCAGTCAACGCCGCATATGCTGAGCAACTGGGATGGAGCCCAGAGATGAATTGAACCTGCATTGGCCTATTTATAAAGAAAGCATGCCCTGTAGGGACCAGCCCATTGATAAATGCTGGCTGCTCTTTTCAGCTGTGGAATCAACAATTCTTTCAAGTGATCAAAATGTCACCAGAAAGTTTTATCCATAGGCCAAATTTCTGTCTTCAGAACTCAACCTGCAGAAAGCCTACTCAGGGTAGTGGGGGAGAGGGCAAGTGGACATGAAACACAACCGTTTAATGTGTCCACAACCCCCAATTCATTTCTTTTTTTTTTTTTTGGAACCCTAACTGTTCTGTCACCTCAAATGAAGTAGCATACTATCTTATCAAGCCCTAGAAATGACCAAACTCTCTGCTTACCTTTATAGCAAGGGCATATTCTTTTACTCAGTTGTGTTCGAAAATCAGGAGGGATTTCATAACAAATACCATTAGGAAGTTTGTGTTCATTTTTTATGTAATATATATTTTTCCACCTATGTCCACATGCCTGCATATATTAAAGAAAAAAAAGTAGGATGTGAAAGGAAAATATAACAGCTGTAAAGAAAAGTACTGCATGCCTTTTGTCGTACTAAGGCAATACATACAACAATGGATCCATTTTCTCTGGGCTGCCTGGACAAGCTGACACCCATCCACTGATTATCTCTCTCTTCAGAGCAGGTCTTTCCACAACGTTCTCCTGCTGGATCACCTAGAGCAAAGAAACAAAATCAAAACAAACAAACAACCAATTATGGCAATCATCTTGAACTCAGGAAATATAACTGAAGTTCTATGTACAGTAGACTTCCAATAATCCGGAACCTATGGGACCTAGGTGGTGCCGGATTATCAGATATGCCAGACTATCAGGAGGTACTATAAACTGGTAATATATATACTGTATACATTATATACAGTATATAAAGTATTCTTAACCTTTTTATTGTACATACTGTATACAGTATACTGTAATGTTTTAGTTTTTTTAAGCCTTTTTTACCCTTTTTGCTCAGTTCAGCTGTTGCCACTGTTACCTTGTGACTCATTTTTTGCCGAAGCTCACTCACTAGGCTCTTGCCATTTTGATGCCGGACTATCAGGAGTGCCGGACTATTGGAGTTTTACTGTACTTTCTTATTATACTTGATTTTAGTTGATTATATAAAGAGCATCAGTTCAACAAAATTTTAGATATGTATTTTATATTGGATTTGCAATGCACAGGTATATTTTATATGGTTCATATTTTTCAGAAATGAAGGAATGGTGCCATACATATAGTATGTCCAGATCCAAATGCAATATATTAGGAACGAGCAGGATTAATTAGTCATTGAGCTCTGATTCTGTGGTTATCACAGTTGAAACTGAGAAAGTCAGAAAGCTGAGCACAAACTCAACATGAGGTAGCACTCCTGCTAAAGAATACATTACCTGATTTATGGCCTAGAATTTCACCTGTGTGGTATGATCTCAAGGAAAGTATTAATAAAATGGGATTCTTATTCACTGAGCTAATTTATCACAAGTAGTATGATATCATATTATAAAGATTTCTCATTGGTATACAAAGACATTTACACCCTAATATTAGGTATTCAATGAATCCAAAATACGAGGATTTTTCATATCTAGCAGTGAGCCCAAGCCTCAAATTCTAATCCTCCACCATACTGAATTCATTTAGCCAGATACAACCCCCTTCCTCACAGCAGATTTTGCCCAGTAATCTAATCTGAGACCTCAAAAGACCCTTTTGCAATAACCCAATGAAACCTGAACTCTAACCTATAGCCAATAGAACCAAATATCTTCTGAATTTCATACCTCTATTTGATGCAACACTTGGAAATCTGCTTTACTAGAAATTCCTACTCTGATAAAAATCAGATGATTATAACTGCAATCTTTATTTAGGAGGTAAAATCATTGTGGATTAAATCCCTGTGTTCTGAGTACTCTTTATTAAGAATTGAAGCAATTATCTAAAGGTGGTTTTTACTTTGCTTCTCTTTAAATATCAAAGAGCATTTTTTATAAATAGGAGGACTTAGAGAAATTTTACAAATATATATATATATATATATTTGGCAAGTTCTTGTCTCTACCCACCTAGTGGTGTGTGTGGAAAGAATAGTTTTACATAGACAGGACTACCATTTAAAAATTATTTTCCACTTTTAAAGGCTCAATTACATTCAGAAATACACTTTTTAATGGGTCTCATATATTTACATGCAAGAGCATGTGGCAGAATACAGCACTTAGCATTTCAGTCCAATATCTCCAGATACCATTTTGTTGTTCAATTAACCTAAACTACTAAGATATCTATTTTTATCCAAATTTTGTATGGTAATTAGGATAAAACACTCAAGACTTGTGTTCAAGAGCAAACTATGTCCTTTTTCTACCAACAGGAGAGAGAATCTTTCTGTCACATACAAATTAGCCAGCAGAGGGCTCCAATACAGATCAGAGAATACAACAGAAACGTATTGTATATTAGCATTAATGGAGGGGCAAATGAGCTTGCACCAGGACTGGCATTTATTTGTAATAAATATGAGTGAGTGCTATTAAATTCAAACAAATGAATAGTTGCATACTGAGTTCTAAGGTCTGCTAAATTCTTTGAAAAGAAAATCTCCCTATATTAATTTGATGCATTACTGCTTCTTGTTCCAAGTAGAGTAGTAATGCAGAGAAAACAAGAATTCTTATGTTTTTCACTGTACATTTTTAAAACTTATCACCTATTAAAAGCACTGTGTACATACGACCTTAATGTCAGTTTGGGCAAAACTTCAAATTGATAATATTCTGATGGCCAAGGTAGTTCCTTTTGGTAGAAATACCCTCAGATGGAGGAAAAAATCCTCCTTTGTAGAAAGGGAATCTCTAGAAGAATTAACCTTTCCCACCAGTTCAGCATTCTATTAGGCCTGGTCTACACTAAAGGGGAAAGTCGACTTAAGATACACAACTCCAGCTATGCTAATTACATAGCTGGAGTTAAAGTATCTTAAATCATGAAACAAAAATACAGGACTATGTAGCACTTTAAAGACTAACAAGATGGTTTATTAGATGATGAGCTTTCGTGGGCCAGACCCACTTCCTCAGATCAAATAGTGGAAGAAAATAGTCACAACCATATATACCAAAGGATACAAGTAAAAAAAAAAGTGAACACACTAAAGGATACAATTTAAAAAAAATTGAACACATATGAAAAGGACAAATCACATTTCAGAACAGAAGTGGGATGGTGGGGAAAGGTAAGTGTCTGTGAGCTGTGCCTTATACCAACATGCAGCCGCACGTGTACAATGTACAACAGTTGTAACACAATAAGTAAGTTAAAGAGTGAAGGAAGCTGGAGTGACTGAGCGCTGCAATCATAATGAGGAAGACACACCTGGGTTACTAGAAAGATCCTATGTCCCTCTCATTCTTCCCCTTACAACTACTGGTACATCTCTTAAGGCTGACGTGTTATCTGGGCCACCATTTATGCACTTTCTGAATCTAAACACAAGAAACTATGTTCCAGGAGCCTTTTCTCCTTGGAAAGCAGTTCAAATGAGACAGATTATATAACTCAGCAATGCTGGTCTCTACTAAAGGGAAAGTTGACTTAAGCTACACAATGCTTGCTATGTTAATTACGTAGCTGGAGTTGAAGTATCTTAAATCGGGTTTTGGCACCATCCACACAACAGGATGTCAACAGGAGCACACGTTCCCATTGACTTCCCTTACTCCTCATGACGAGCAGGACTACTGGCACCAATACCAGTATTTTGATACTGCCTCTGCTTCTTGCATTTCTCAGAAGCACAGGAACTCCAGAACTCTTCTTTTGAGTAGGGGAGGAAATCTGGTGCAGAAGAGGACAAGAAGAGACTCTTTTATTTTTCTGATGATTCTCCATAGAGCTGGAGAACAAAAACATGTGTATGTTTCCTGGCCTTGTCCACTCTGCAGATCCCAAGCCACAAAGCACTTTCCATCGAGGCCAGAAGACAAGGGGGAATAGAGGCATCTGTTCCCTTTTGCTCACAGCATAGGGGAGCCAAGCCAGAATGTCCACACAGCTAGGAATTGATATCAGAACTGTCTGTGTAACAACTAAAACTGCCCCTAAAGCTCAATTCCGCTTGGATACTAACAGCAGGGCTCTACCGCTTAGCTAGATGCATAACACGAGTCTCAGCATTTTCAATAGCAAAACAGTCTGTAAGAATCCTTTTGGAAGTTGATGTAACATCATATAAAATACCTAGTCACATTGCATGGAAGATGTTGTAATAATATATGCAAGGTTTATTTTAAAAGCAAAAGTTATTAACATTAAGAGAATGAATGTGACATTAGTTTTATAAGGGGCTGATAATTACAGAAACTAGGCTGGAGAGCAACATTTAATGAACGCCTCCAGGAAAACCATCTATGCGTCCTCACCTACACATCTACACAGAGGGCTGAAGTCGAAATAAGCTATGCAACTTCAGCTATGCCAATTGCATAGCTGAAGTTGAAATAGTTTATTTCAGCTTTTGGCACTGTCTACACAGCAAAAATTCGAAGAAAACTTTTTCTTCAATTTTCCTTACACCTCATAAAATAAGGGTTACCATGAATTGAAGTAAGAAGTCCTGAAGCTTGACATTATTTCAAAATAAAGGCTGGTAGTATAGACGTGCACTTTGTTATTTCAGAATAACATCAGTTATTCTGAAATAACGCTGCTATGCAAACATACCTTAAATGATTAAAGCCTGCAGTTAGTAATCTTTTAGATAGGAGAAGCCTTTACTAACAAATCCATTACAATGGCTCTTTTCATCCTGGCTTGTCTCAGAATATCAATATATTAGAAATGAAGGCAAGGGTCACAGAATACCTATCATTTCATTTTTATCCTCTCTAATCTCCATGCTCCATTCTGTCCCCATTTTAAGTGTCCCTAATAAAGAAGCAGTGAGAAAGAGCATTTTCCTCTTCTCCCAATCATAGTACCTTTACCCACAAAGTTTCCCCTCTCCTTAACTCTAACCTATAAACTACGGATGCAGCTTGCCTTTGACCTTCTGATTTCCCACCATCTCCTGTTCCCTCTGCAACGTCTCTCTTGTTTTCTATTTTCTGTTCTACACTCTTTTGTCAAGATTCATTGTTGTTCATTCCCATTAATACAGTAAAAGCTCTGTTATCGGGCATGTTGGGGGAATGAAGAGTGCTGGCTAATTGAATATTCTGCTTAGAGTTATTCTTTAACAATGAAATACCAATTTTCAAATAATTAGAATACAATAAAAGGAATAAAGTATAAAATAGTATAGCAGTAGTCACCAATCAAATGAGAGTACTGCACTGCAGAGTGGCTGGATTCTTAAAGCACTTAGGTGTATACAGTAGGAATGTTAACTATCAGGTATTTGTGTACATGTAACAGTTGGATATTTTAGTGGTTACACGTTTGCACGTAGTGGGCGAGGGGTGGTAGGAGGAAGTCCATGCTCACAGGGAGCCGGCTTAAAAGCCAGCTCGCTGCAAGTACAGGCTCCTGCCTGCTCTCCCATCTGCTGCCTCTGATAAAGAGGCAGCAGCGCAGGGGACAGGTAGCTCTGCAGGAGCCTATATATGTGGGGAACTGTCTTGAAAGCTACTTCCTGTGTTTACCAACGCCTGCCTCCTCCCCTT